TTCGAGTCAAGATTGACAAGAAACTTGAAATGATCCAATGTTGTTTCCTATGGGGTGATGAGGAGGATAATCTAAGGTATCACTTGGTGAAATGGGAGGATGTAAAAAAACCTATTGCTGTTGGGGACCTTGGCTTGAGATCCGTGGTGCAAATGAACAACGCACTACATGGTAAATGGCTATGGAGGTAAAATAGAGAGGTTGACAGTTTGTGGAAGAGGACGGTGGAGGCCAGGTGGGTGTGGGAATTGTGGGGGAAGACAATAGAGGTGCTGTTAGACCTCATGGAAGGAGTCTATGGAAGAAGATTTTGATGGGTAGGCAGTGTTTTATGAATTGTATAAGTTGGTGTGTTGGTAAAGGTGATAAGATACGGTTTTGGGATGATGAATGGATTGACTTCAAACTAAAGGACAGATTTCGGAGAATTTTCACCATTGCACAGAATAAAGACATGTTTGTGGAGGAGACTTATTTGGTTAGTGGGGAGGACAGTGTGTGGAATGTGCAGGTTACCAGAAATTTGAATGATTGGGAAGTGGATAACTACCAACAATTAATGCTTATTGTGTCCCAAGTTTTTCTGGGCAACCAGCCGAACCTAAGGTCATGGATTTCTGAAAGAAATGGTATGTTTTCTGTTAAATCCTACTACCGGCAACTGAGTAATGGAGAGGAAAGAACTCTTCCTGTTTTTCCATTCAAACATATTTGGAAGATAAAAGCTCATCCAAGAATGGCCTTTTTTACATGGGAAGCATGCAAGGGCAGTATTTTGACGGCTGACATGTTGATGAGAAGGGGCAGATACATGGTTAATCGTTGTTTCATGTGTAAATTGAATGCAGAAACGTGTAATCATTTATTGTTTGATGCCCAATAGTGTATAGTTTATGGACCATGATCTATATGGACTCTTGGGGGTAAAAAGTATTATGGCGGGCTCTATGAGAGACGAATTGTGGGCATTGGCGGGGCTGTGCAAAAAGAAAACTTACACTCTTGGGGGTAAAATGTGTTATGGTGGGCTCTATGAGAGACGAATTATGGGTATTGGCGGGGTTGTGCAAAAAGAAAACTTACCTACTTTTTATTCCTATATCTATCTTTTGGGTGATGTGGAAGGAGAGAAATGCTAGAGCTGTTGAAGGGGTTGATAATGATTTTGCTAACATTAAGGATAGATGGTCTCATACTTTTAATTTTATATTTTTTGGTCACGACATCAATGGTTTAGAAATGTTATTGACCACTTGATTGAAATGTAAATGCATTTTACATGGGTGGTACCCTCTTGGTACTAATGTTTATAATATATACTACATTTGTATTTAAAAAAAAAAAACAGAGAGTATTAAGGGGATCATGAGGATTCCATGTGGTCTATTTAATTGGGAGTTGCATTGTTTAGTTAAGAGTACTGGAGGTCTGAGCATTTGGAACCTTACATGTAACTTGTCCCTGTTGCTAAATCTTATGGAGGTGATTACGAGCAAGTTTGGTCTGCATCGAAATGCTTCTTGCTCAAAAATTAGTACGTCTCCTTATAGGAGCTGTTGGAAAGCGATTTTAACCCTTCCTTCCTCTACTCATTTCAAGAGTGGGTGATGAATCTCAATTTCTCTGCTGGGAAGACCCTTCTATTGACAGTCTTTCCCTGTATAACCTGTCATAGAACCAAAATACTCTTAAGTTCGTCTGTTTTGGATTCCTCTGCTGATCAGCACTCATTGAAAATTTTATTCGTTTAGAAATCTTAATGATCGAGAAGATGATGATGTTTTCATTGATTCAACTCCTTGAGTCTTTTGTTGTTTTCTTGAACACTTAATCATAGAGTCTGGTCTTTGCACTCTTTCGATGCTTTTACTTGCAAGTTTTTCTATGCATTATAAACCATAAATATTCCATTAATAACAGTGTTTTCATCAAAATTTTTGAGAGCACTTGTGAACATTTTGATACAATTATACTATATTTCCTTCCTTGATTGTTTTGTTTTTAGGACCTTCAATCATTTTTTTTTAAATAATTAGGACTTTCTATCATTGAATGATAGTATTTTGGGAACCTCGTAGACCTTTACTTTATGATATTTTGTAACCCTTATATAAACTAGATCTTCTGTTTCTTTAATCTTTGTACTTTCGTGGCACCCCATTGGCGCCTGCTAATGATAAGATTGGGTCTTCTGTTTTGTAATTTCTTTTTGAAATAAGAGTATAAAAGTATCATTAAAAGCTAGCATTGAGGGGATGCCAATCCATGTACAAATAATTTGCAAGTCTACTAAAATATCAATAAGGTTTCTAAAATCTTCTATTCAGTAAACACAATAACCCAAAATAAAAAAACTGAGGGTTTGGAACCATTCTGCTTTTGTAATCTTTGTAATTGCATGGCACCCCCTTGGTGCCTACTAATATTATTACCTTTTCATCTAAAAAATATAACAAATTATCTGAACAATTTCTTCCTGATTAGAATACCTAATTCTAGAGGTCAATGTGTATTCTCCTACAAACCCTTAGCATAGTTCATCATGGATCATAATGGTAGAAAATCTATCAAGCATGTATCCAGCCTTATTCAAAATTTCAGTGTTGGCAGAAAGATCCGTGACCAGATCTCAGACTTGGGATTGTATTAGTTTTCATCATTTTTAAAATTGTACTGAATTTGTGGTTCTTTGTGGTGATGACTTGAGTTTGAAGACAATATTTTTATCGTATGGGTGGGTTCCTGGGGATTAGGAGTTACCTATGCGAGGAATTATCATAAAAGAAAGTACTTCTATGTTCTTCATGATTCTCTTTAGCTTTTACTTCAATTTCATGTAGTGGATGTCTGTGTTTTGTAGCTTTGGCCTTGAAGACGAGCCCATGTATTCAACAATTCATTATGATCAAGGGGAACAACTTATGTAGATTTGTTTGCTGATTTGTTGAAAATGGGAAGACTTTTTGAAAATAAAATTTGCTACTTCTTTCTTGAAGTCAAACTAAATTAATGAATATCAAAATTGCAGGGTGATGACTATTAGCTTTCATAAGTTTGGAGATATGTTCTTTCCTGGAACCGGTGATGTTAAGGTGATTCTAGAAGACTTGATTGCCTTTATTATAATATTTATTATTACCTCTGTGTCTTTTTTTTGGGGGGGTGTGTGTTTGACAATTTGCATCTCTCCTTCAGCCAGCAAGTAACTGATAGCATTAGGGTGAAGATGCATGAATTGCAAGATGGTTTTTGAGAGAAAAAAACAATCATGTGCTTTATTTATATCTTAGTTGATATATTTTTTTTAAGGGCAAAAGATTAATTTTCTTCTATAGCAATGATAAATAAATAATTAATGCTAAAAACAGTCTCAAATCCGAATTTCAAAAATTTCCTCTTTGAACTAAAAATCCCTAATCTTAATCTCGTTCACTTCTCTTCTTCTGAGACAAACATTTCCCTTATCATATTCATTCGTACTTGGACTTAAATGGCAATGTTAGTGGCACATTTGTTCATCTTTCTTGTTGTTGGTCTTTCATTGCCTTCAAAAGGAGGGGCTGAAGAATTGGGATTTAAGAGGAAAAAAGAGTGTGAGATTTGGAATTTTGGGATCTTTCTGGAAGAAGAGATAGTGAGATTTGTGGACATTTTGGGAGTTCTTTTTGTAAAAAGGAACTAATCTTTTGCCCAAAACAATCTCTCACTTGCAATGTGTATTCACTTTAGCATTGACATTTAATTGGTGAAAGAAGGTTCCATTTGGGGTATGCCAAGTTCTACTCTTTCTTAAAAAAACTGGAGCTATTATTTTTCTATCTATGGGAGTTCTTTTTGTAAAAAGGAACTAATCTTTTGCCCAAAACAATTTCTCACTTGCAATGTGTATTCACTTTAGCATTGACATTTAATTGGTGAAAGAAGGTTCCATTTGGGGTATGCCAAGTTCTACTCTTTCTTAAAAAAACTGGAGCTATTATTTTTCTATCTGGTGGCACATCTGATTACTAGAAATATTAGTTTGAAAAAGTTTTGGTGAGTCCTGCAAGGTGGGGTTGGAGGATGAAGTGGAAATGAAAATCCTTTATTTTAATTAAGGTTGAGTGTTCTCCTGCCATTTGATTGTCAGTTTTCCTATAGTGGTAAATATAACAATATCTTCTGTAACTTAATAATTTATATAAATGTATTAACTGTTTCCCCTAATAAATTATTTATTTTACCTGCAAAATCTTCTCATAAGAAACATTTACTTAATTTGAATATTGCCAACCTGCATGTAATAAAAGTCAAGTTATTATCTTGATACATATGGTAATTTGTATTAAAGGAAATTGGGGAAAGAGAAGGAAAGTTCTATGCCATAAATGTCCCACTCAAGGATGGGATTGATGATACTAGCTTCACTCGGCTGTTCAAGATGGTGAGTTAATTGTTGAAGCATCCAAGTTCAGTTGTTCATCTTTGTTTAAGACGACAATGTACAAACTTTCTTGTGCAAATACTTGTCTTATAGATTATTTCCAAGGTTGTTGAAATGTATCAACCAGGAGCAATAGTTCTTCAATGCGGGGCAGATTCGCTTGCTGGGGATCGGTTAGGCTGTTTCAATCTCTCTATTGATGGTGTGTTTATGTACTTATATATATGTATGTATAGAGATGCACATATATATTTATACACGTCAAATAAATATATATATATTGTTTCTTTTGCTTGCTCTTAGGCTAGTTGATGAGGACAGCTTTGTTAATAATTTTTCTTGGTCCTGCAGGTCATGCTGAATGTGTTAGGTTTGTGAAGAAATTCAGTCTACCCCTGTTGGTATGTTTTTTATTGATAAGATTGTTTGTTAGGGCATTTTTTTCTAATACTAATCTGATTTTAGGGGCCACCTGCCCGAGTGTTATTAGTTCCTATGGGTCTGAACATAACATATTCTCTTAGGTTCACAGTTTGAACTGCAAAGGACAAATTGGTGTACATCTAACATGTGTTGATGAACTTGGTCCTGTAGGTTACAGGAGGTGGAGGATACACAAAAGAGAATGTTGCAAGATGTTGGACTGTTGAGACTGGAGTTCTTCTAGATACAGAACTCCCAAATGGTACTTCAGATATTTGGCGATATCTATGGTGCTTCTTTCCTACTATATCTTATAATGAAATATCATTTCCCATCTTCACCTAACATCTGATGAGACTAAAAGTTTCTCCAACTTTCATTATTTTTAGATATACTTGACTGGGCATCATCTCTCAAAAGAATAAGCCTGTTGCTGTTTCCTTTTTCAATTATGATTCTTTTGAGAGATTGGGGTTAAGTGGATGAATGTTCTCAACTTGGTTTGGTATCTATAGGCTTTTTCTAGATACACTTGCATGTTGCTTAGCTACGCGGGAATCTAGAATAAGTAACTGGGTGTTGAGTGTTATTCCATGGTTAGATTTCCGGATGAAAACAACACTGTGAGTTAAAAATGCAATAATTTGATTATAATTTTTAATAAACTTTAGCATGCTATTACTATTTAGTCGTCCGACTTTTTGTTTTTTGGTATATTTTTTTCTTTTGAAATTTTCTTCATAAAAATTTGTTTGGAAGAAATTAGATTTAGGTGCTGTAGCATTTGTCTTCTTATTAACTTTTATGTTTCAATTATGTTACTCCATTCATGAAACATGGCCTTATGGGTATTAATTGGGTTATGGTGGGGTTGGTGAAAAACGAGTTGTTGGCTTGGGAGGGGATTTGCGAGAAGGGCATGCATCGTCTCATTCTCTTGTCTATCTTTTGGGTTACTTGAAAAGAGATAAACAAAACAATAGGGTATTTGAAAGGAGGAAAGAACATCTAGTAAACATTAGAGATAGATGGTTACATTATTTTGGTTCATTGATTTTGGGACATAACCTTTATAATATTGAGGATTTTGAGGTCATTGTACATATATTCACTAACTTGCAAATTTTTTATAAATAGGTGGCACCCTGTTGGTGGCTTTACTTAATACACTTTTCACATTTTTTATTTCAAAAAAAAAAAAATGTCATGTCTAATGGGAAGTGAAAAAGTCAGCTACTACTTCCTTTTTTTAGGTAATCATGCGTTACCTACTTGAACTCCAGACTTAATTGATATTTGACCAAATAATATAGGATAAATAAGATTAGTTTGTCTATAGAAATTTGGGATAAGTGTAGAGTTTACACATGGAAATAGTTTCTCAAGCATCGCATTTTAACACAGGATCTCATCAGATGACCAATATATTGAGAAAAGTGTTAAAACAATTATGAACTCATGGTTTAATCAAAGAAGAGGTTATAAAAGTATTTATAGTATTTAGATATAAAAACCTAATCTAACTGTAAGGGAATTTAAGAGAAAATTTTATGTTGCAATGTTGCTATAAACCAAGGAATAACAAAATAAGATCCATTTAGAGGGAAGCTTTAAACACTTGACTTATGGAAGGAATAAGAAGAATCATTCATTAGTTTTTTTAATAGAAAAATAATAATTATTAAAGATAAGAATAGTATAACTATATAGATGGAGAATAAGATATCCTCTATAGTCTTTTAATAGAAAATTTGAAAGCACACGTTAGTGACAAACAAACCATTAAAGATCAAGAAATTATTGTTCTCCAGGTTTCGTGTAACACCGAAATACCAATATGTGAAAATTTCCTATGGCTTTTTCACAGAGGGTGGCAAAAATGTCATCCTCTTCTACAGATCTTGGCTTGAAGAAGAGCAATGTCAAAAATCCCACGACTCTGTTCTAGCCATAATGTCCATGAACCATCAAAAATAGCCCCTTGCCAGAGAGATTTAGCAACTTTTCTTATGCTGGCCCCATGAAGACTGAAACTCATTAAACATTCCATTGAAGGGAGGCTCACCCAAGCCAATCCAAACATATCAAATAACTTTGTTGGCAATTTTCAAGCCATGGTGCATTAAAGAAACAAATAATTGTCTATCTCCTGAACATGTTGAGACATAACACAAATATCTGGTGAGAGAGTTTGATTAGACCTATGAGTTTCCTACAACTCATTAATACCAAGCCTGTTGAGAATAAGATTTCATGAAAACACCTTCACATTTAAAGGAACTTTAACTCTCCAAAATTTGTTGACAAAAGGAAAATGATAGCAGTTGCAGTGGTGGGTTATGTGTTTGAAAACGACTTGCGTGTATATAATCCCAAAGGATCCAATGTCCAACTTTTGTTATCAGGCTGTGGTGTATCTTGAAAAGGCTCTAATAAATTTAGCAAGGTTAGCACGTCATCAATCTCTCTATTAGATAAGCTTCCAAGGCTATGTTTGGTAGTAGCTTTTGGCCTACATTTCCAAAGTATTTTGTAGCCGAACAGAAAAAATTAAAAGTTCTTTTGGTCAAAGCCAAAGTTAAAATATGTTTTTGATAAGTTTAAGCACTGAAAGCAAAAACATACTTTAAAGAAACAATTTATACTTTCAATATTTCTTTCCAATCTTGCTCTTAATTAAAAAATTACTCCTTTGTCCCTTTAACAATAAAACCCTAAAAAATCAGCCCCCTTCTCCTTTCTTTCACTCTACCTAAGCCCTAGCATCATCTCGCTCTCATGCTGCCTCCAACAACCGTCCTCCAGCCTTCCCGGCCGCAAGTTAAGAACATCATCTGCTGCCTTTCTCCTTTCTTCCTTCATCTGCTTGTTTACACACAATTTCGCCAG